TGAAAAGCAGCCTGATGGCTACAGTTGTGCAGTTATGTTGAAATGCACTTTACTCTGGCTGTGCCCACAACGAAAGTGGTCTCTTTGCACCTGGCAATTTCTTTAAGAGGACGGCTGGTGCTTTAGCAATCATTTTCCCCATGAAATCTGATTGGAGCCTTCTGGGGCTTTTTTCACCTCCTCTCTCTTTACAGCAATTTCAAAACCCTTTTATTAAATCTAAACCCCCCTGTTTGATAGTTCATAGCTAAGCTATAATTACCCAATATGAAGATGCAAGCACAAAATAATTTCTTAGGAAGGTTTACACAAAAGGGAATAACTCTGATAATTTTTTTTTTCAGTCCTTTGAGAAAATCTATAAGAGGATGAATAAAGCAAAGAGTGATGATAGCGCAGCACAGATACAAACCTGATGATCTTACTCTGATTCTGTCGGGGTTTCCGCTCCAGTGGCTTCCTTAAAGGAGCATTGTCAGAAAGAAAAATCACATTGCTGCAAGTGGGCTGTGCAATCAATCACTGGCCACAGAGAAGGTGGGAGATCAGATGGATTCCCTTTTGAATTCAATCAAAACACATTTCAAAGAAACTGGCATGTCTCTTGGCTGAGGTATTTAATCATATATTTGGTGCCTGGCTCCCTGTCGCAGTTGCTTAATGAGACTAGACTTTTGTAATCCCAGAAAAGAGAGGCCAAAAGATAATTATGCAAGTTATAAACTCTTTTCACTGTAGATGCCAAGTTTTTTGATAATCGCATTTTCTTGGACTGGCCCTTGAGCAGGCTGATTTACAGAAAATAATGGCCTTCTTTTTTTTCACTGCTAGAATGATATAAACTACTATTTTCTAACCTGTAGTCCCTGCATCCTGGCAGTGCCTGGATTATTTGTGAGGGCTCTGCAAAAGGTGACAAAGAAGAGCGTGTCTTCACATGATCCACAGCCGTTACATGTGAGAAACTTCTGAAGGTCCATGTATTGAAGAAGGTGGAAAATTGCAATGTAGGCAGCCTGAGGAACTTGATGAATGTGCTCAGCTCCTCCTGGTGAGGCCAAATTCGGCGGCCTTTCCCTGCGCAGGAACCTTCTGAACAACCGGTTGCGGCAGTATGTGTTCCCAGATCTAATTAGTGTGAGATTGCAAACCATTATATGCCATATGGAGCCTCCACGATTCCTGATCATCCTTGTACTTGAGAAGACTGAGGCATGCTGTCGGGGCTTCTTTCTGTTCTTCCGCCCCTCGTAGCAGCCCCCGTGGCTGGATCCAGCCATACATTGCTGTTCAGGCCACTGCAGCAAGAGCTGAGCGAAACACATCATCTGGGGGGGGGGGGATTGGGTATTTTGTGGGTAATTATTGAACTTGGAAAAATACATGGATATTAGGACCAGCTACAATTGAATCATGTCCTTTCAGAAAGTTGCAGACTGTTTTATTCCCTTTCTCTGGAGCTGGAGTCCCAACTAGCTGGGGATTTGTATTTCCCTTTTCTTCAGAAAAATGCAGTGACCTTTTGCACTGCGACAGCCCTTATCAGCAGGCTGGGGGAGCAAACCTAAGGGAGATAAATGCACCAGAAGTAGGCGGCTCATTGCTTTCGTGGAAAAACAGAAATGCAGATTAAGTTGGTTGTGGCTCTGGAGAGGTGTATAAATAATTTGCATTACTTCTCTCTGCTTCTGAATAGAGTATAGAGCCTGGAAATAATCCTTTACTTCCCACAGCCCTTTTTGGGAGGATCAGACCTGTTCCTGTGTCAAATTTATTAATTTTCTCATAATTTCTATGCCCTTCCTCTCTTCTCAGTCCTCTGTGGCATCCATACCAGATTTGGTTCATGGTGTTCATGTTGGATTTCTTCAGAGAAGGGGTCAAAGTGTTCACATTTACTTTATGGAATAGAATCAGGGAGCACATCAACTTTCTTCTATGAATCTTTGTGCTTGTGTTCAGGTGTAAGATTCACTTATATCTATGAATTAATCTAGGCATCTTTTTCAAAAGACTTCAGAATTGTTTGCCTTTTTTCAATTTGCTTGTCTTAAGGAAAAAGAAAAGAAAAAAGGAGAGTAATGTCCCCTCAGTCAGGTTTGTTGCTATTTCCAAATGAGTTTTAGGAGCGTAAATGTGTTTTCCCAATTCCACATAGTTATCCTTAGCTCAGCATATTGCCTGGGGAAGAGAAACTGTTTTATCTCTGCAGATGTGAAAACTGTTCACTTCTGTGTCTCATGGTGTGTTTTGCTTTGTCTGTTTTCTATCCAGCCCAGCTCTTTTAGGAGACTCCTCTGGGTTTTTGCGGTCTTGGACCCAGAAGGCAGGCGGTGTCTGTCTACCCGTTTCTTTTGCAGCTTAATACTCTGCTCAGCGCTCACTCTGACATTCAGCATTTCTTCCTTCCCAGTCCTGTTCTCAGCAGGCGTTTCTGTAGTGTGGGAGTGGAGTATAATGTCCCTCTGGTCTTAAAAGTGTGAAAAAGCTCATTCTTTCAGGAATTAAACAACTGATCTTCCATCCGCTCGCTGATGTACTGTCCTCTTAGCTTAGCCCAAACCATTTGTGTAGGCTCTAACATAATTTAGTCTTTCCCATCTCAGCTAGCAGCACACCCCAGCCAGCTAGTTTTTCTGTATGTTTTAACATTTAATGGTGCTGTCTGTTTCTTTTTAACCTCCCAGTTAGGCGTGTGCTACAGATGGTTGGAGACCAGATGGGGTATGTCTGGAAGGTCTTCTGATTAATCCCTATTTAAGACAGTTTTCATTGTATATAATGATGCAGGATTTTGTAATTTTAAGCTGTGTTATTAGGCACAAAATGGGAAAGTATACTTTAGTTTTGACTGTAACTGAAATCTTTATGGCTAAATAAAGTTTGCAATGTCTGCTTTTAAATCAGTACTTACAAAAGAAGGTAGAAAGTGCCCAGGTGTATCAGACACATGTCTGGTTCAGTATTTTGGATTGGATAGTGGCACCAGGAGATGCTACACAGGAAGAGCACTCAGGTCTGGCTGCTTTCTGCAGTGCGTTTCTAGCATCCCCAAGTGCTGTGTTTCTCAAAAAAGAAAGTTCTGTCAAACCCTGACACCCGTAATAACTTGCACAAGGAAGTCATTACAAATCTGTTAATGAATTAGGTAACCCCTCAACGGACTTCAGAACAGCAGCCCTCCAGACTGTTTATGAAATAGTGTTTTTTCAATCAATTTGTAGCTTTTTAGGCAGCCTCTTCACTCTTCCCTTCATGGTCTCACAGTAAGAAGGATGAATGGAAAGCATAAAGTCATCAGAAATCAATTAATCTGATCTGGAACACGCATATTTAAGCACCTTACTTACAAAGATCCAGGTATTACACAGCAGAGCAGAATTTGAGAACGTTTGGATCCCTGATCTGTGCATATTTGTAAGCTTAGCTTGTGTGGATTACTTTTTTATTTGGACTGTGATTTTTCTATTTGGTTTTGGTAGCTGAACCTTCTTTATAAGGTATTTGACCTTAAATTGCTGGTGTGCACACTTAAATCTCAGCTCTCCTATGAATCTGACTGGATATTCTGGAATTTAAGAAAAAGAAACAACAACAAAACCAGAATGGCTTTACAAAATTTTTTCCAACTTCAACAGCGGAAGAAATTCTAGCTGGTTTTAAGTGCTCTCAGTGATACTAGACTGGGTGTGAATTGTGGGAGAGAGCATGATATGCCTGAGAGATGTGTTTGCTGCTAGCCGCACGCGCAGTCCTCACGTGATTAAAGCTCAGTGTTTCTAAAAGATAATAACACTTTACACTGGTAAGGTCTCCTGACATGATTCAGTCCTTCCAGCTGCAGAGTTTCTTCTTTCTTACATCTGATCATGACCCGTGCTGCCAGCTGGCAGAGTGGACCGCAGACCAGTTCAAATAATACCTTCTGCTCTGGGTTGCTGGAAGCTGACCCTGCATCTCTGTCGGCGGTGTGGGTCCGTGCCGTGCTCCGTGGGGCCTAGACAAGGTCTGGTGCTTGTATCACCCTCACTGCTGCCCCGGCTCCTGCTACAGTCCTTGCCTTGCTTTGCTTCTGCACTTCTGTCATAATATTGACTTGCAAACATATAGCTTTTTTTGCCAGTTGCTATGGTTACCTCTCAGCTACCCACATCTGAACTGTAGAAATGAGTAACAAGCAATACATTTCAAGCCTTAATGAAATGCACAGCAGTGTGTTAAATTTTTAAACCCAACATGAATATCACTAAGCAACATCCATTCGTGATTTGCCATAATTACTGCTGCAAGCTCCTTACGATTGAAATGCTGGAGCACAGGTCTTTCTCCTCCACTGCATCAAATACGTTTTTCTGCCAGTAGCTTCACAGTATCTCAGACCTGTGATGTTTCATAGTCTCTTCACAGTTTCGAAGAACTAAGTTTGACCTCTTTAAATTATTCACACCTTCAGACCGGCAACATCTCCAAAATCTTCTTTTGTGTGTATCACCCATTTCCTTCTCATTCACTCCCAGAAATTTATTTTAAAGACCTTTGATTCTTCTGCCCTAGTTCCAAAATGTGAATCCAGCTTGTTTCCTCCCAGCTGCTTCTTGCATATTTGGAAGAACCAATTCCACCAAACCAGCATTAGTGTTGAATTAAAATGAGCGTGTAGTTGGTGCTTGGAACTGTTTGCTCAGTAATGGCACCAGAAGGAGCCGATGCCTCAAGTCTTTTGAGGTGGTAGTTTTCTGCTAAGAGATCTTATTGTCTATCTTGAACAATGCATTTTATCCATCAGTTTGAGAAGTAAAATAAAACCAGACACTGTTTATATGTCCGCACTCTAGGCTTCAGGTCAAATGATTAATTGTACCACCTGGTGCAATTGCAGTTCTTGAATTAATTGCGTTGTGCTTGCAGATCGGGTGGTTCAGAATATCTCTTGTGCTGTGCCCAGGTTCTCTGCTGATCAGTCTGATTTCCTGTATTCTGTTAATATTTTACATTTCCAGCACCAGAGTTACCAATCCTAGAGAGGAAAAACTGGTTGATCTATCTGCTGTATGTTCGCAGAGACTACGATGAGTGTAAGGTAAGAGCTGCTTTCGGGACTTTGCATTAGGAACTATTTTACTGTTGTTATGAAACAGTAGTTTTCATGTCAGTTTCCAAACCACCCTCTTTCCTGACTTCTTTTGGAATAAGGGGACCAAGAGAAAATACAAGTAAAATAACTTTTGTGTTCTCAAATCCTTGGCTACCTTCAGGATCCATGCATGCAGTTCTCTGGAGCAATCTGTGAGCTCAGTATGTCTTTGGGAGTGGAAAAATGGAAAGAATTGCAAACCTTTCTTGTTCCAAGTGATGGATAGGGTCTTCTAAACTGATAATAACGCAGTTCCATAGTGTAGGTCTCTCAATGGTGCTACAGACATGCTATGAAAAACACTTCAACTGAGTAAAGCATTACTAGCGGGTCTAAAAAAAAAGATCTTGGTTACCCTTGAACAAAATTCTTTCATTTTACACATGATGCATTGCACCCTTTAATTTCTCCTGGGTTTGGTGGGTAGCTTGGAAGCGGTTGTTTGTTTGGGATTATAACGGTAAGTGGACTAAGGAAATGGCAAATCTATTATTAAACGGTGTGTTTTCCTGATAAAATGAACACAAGCTATTGAAGATGATGCACCAGTGGGCAGGAGGAGGGGAGTAAGAGTTGCCTTTCTGTTTCTGTCATGTGCAAAGAAAATCTGAAAAGACTTTTTTGCTTCTGAAACACCAGGGTTGGTCGGGACTTGTCTGTCTCTGCTGGAGAACTCCTGGGGGTGCTTAGGAAACTGGCAGGCTGGAGGAAATTCATTTAGCTCTTAATTAGTGGAGCTGGAGGGTTGTATCATCAGCAGTGTGATTTCCTCTCAGATCTTGGTTTAAATAGATATAAACAAAAGTTGGACTAGCAATCTAAATAGAAAATTGTTTCCCTTTTCTGTTGATCTGACTGCATTTTTTTGCTCTCTGATTGCGTACATTTACTGTTTCTGTGATGCAATGTAGAATCACAGAGTGCACAGAAGATGTATGGCTCAGGAAAACAGAGAAAATAACCAAGTGGATGATACAACAGCAACATTGACTTCTCCACGTCTTCATCAGTCATGGAAGCAAGCAAAATATGGGGAAAAAAATCGAGAGAAGACAGCTAATACTCTTTTGCTTGGCAGGCCAGCTTTGCAGTAGCTGTCAAAGTAAAAGGCAGCAAAGCCTTTCCTCAGGGCTCACAAAGCAGGGTTTTTGCAGTAAAGTTGGAAGAGTTTGGCACCAGACCATAGCAGGTCAAATGATCTTCCATCCTTTCACCGAGATGTGATCGATGTGTGCTCAGAGGCCTGGATTTGTCCCAAAGAAGATAGGAACCTTGGTATGCCAGGATGCTTCGTCAATCACTGAGGAGTGATAGCATGTCCAAAAGGCGATTCAGATCTTAGGTGGGCTGAGCTACCCTCTGGTAGTCTCTGTCTCTCTCCGCTGGTGTTACATGGGGTTACAGATCTAACCTGGATGCCCCAGGTGCTTGCCCTTACATGTGATAAACATAGACATTCCCGAACATGCTGTTTGGGGCTAATACCTTCAAAACCAAAAGAGGTATTGACAGTATCCCCAATGGCTGAAATTGCTGTTAACTGATTGATTTCACTATAGTTTGGGCATTCGTTAAAGTCCATTAATTTTCTTTTCAGACTCAGCTAAGAAACAAGTGACCTGTGATGCTATTAATTTTGGTTTGAATCTTGCTAGACCCTCTTTCCCACTCAGTGCTTTGAAATGCTTCCTCTCTAACACGGTTTTAAAAGCTCCCATATTTTTCAAAGATGTAAAAGGCCAAGAAAAAAGTGTTTGTTTACCAACATTAGCTCCCCAAAGTGAAGGCATTAAATCGATTTTAACCCTTACAGTGCCACTCCTGTGTCTATTTTGGTGTTGCCAAGCTTTTGACAAATTTTGCTGCTCATTACAGTGAGGGATTAATAATGCTCGCTGTTTGATTTGCCTCTCATTCTACCCAGCAAGATGCAAGGCAAACATCCCCCAGAGCCTGCGGCTGCAGCATCCCCTGTGATTGCACAGGCAGAGAGGAGTGGGGGGAGAGGAGGGACAGGCCCTGCTAAGCAGTGATCATCACTCAGCTCTCACTTTTCGCGTGCAAAACTAATAAACTGTGTTTTCTGCTTGCAGCATCAATTCCAGCCCTGCCCCCTAACCGTTTTTCACAACAGAAATCTTCTGCTTCTGTTATGTGCGAGGAAGGAATTATTAAAATTACCAGATGCTTTTAATTAATTAAAGTTGCTCGTGCTGGTTGGTCTCCTGCCAGTATGTCTAAATTCTGTTGGCAAGTTAAATAAACTTGGGAGGAAAAGCTGGGATTACAGATCATATTTCTCAGCTCAAGGCCTTTTGCTATGGGATTTTTTAGGGTTTATAGAATTAATCAGATCTCTCGAAAAGATAGCTCTCTATTGCCCTCTCTTGCTCTGAGAAACTGGTTTTATGTAGATGGAGAAATACAGAGTATCTGTATTCAGGAGATGCTTGGTTATGTCCAAGTTGAATGTCCTATAATAATGTATTTTGTAAAGAGTATAATACAGATATATTAGCAGATACAGATGAGAGGAAGAGCAGTGTGGACTTGTTCTTCCTTTCCTTTGTCTCTTTATTTTCTTTTTATGAGTGAGGATTCTCAAAAATAATCTTCTTTGCCTTCACTCCACTTTCCATCTAAGTGCTATATTTGAGGTTCAGTTTTCCTCCCTGTTTTCAGGTCCTTCACTTATAGTCATCTTGGAGGCAGGGGATGCTGGTACTGATCACACACTTGACAGAAGTGCCAGATGAGCACCAGGTTATTGCTGGCACAGAAATCTTTCTTTCCCCCTGTTGCCGTGAAAAGCTGAAATCGGGACTTAATAGTCATGGTGACTGTTAAGGAGGTATTCTTTATTGCAGCGCTGGATGCACAGGGGATCGCTCCTCCTAACGTGTATGCCACGCCAGGTCAGTTACACAGCTTATATGCAAGTACATATGGGTATATTATCATGGGTAACCACCCACTCCCAAATGCGCATTATCATCTTTGGGTGGGCTTCAGAGGCATCTGGTGGTTTTTTACTTCATCCACTCCTGTTCATCATCATGTCCTCTTGGTGAACTACCGCTTTTACTCCCGTGTTCTTGCTGGCAAAGCCACAGAGTTAGTTTTAGCCAGGTCTGCAGTCTTGAGGCATCCTGTGCCTCTTTATCTCATAGTAGCCTTGCATTCTGTTCCTAGAGATAAGTTCCGCTAAAAGGATTACAATGTGCTTTACATATACGTTTCACAGTGCCACTGTTATATAGTGCATTGCTGCTGCTTGTTAAAAAGGCTTCGGCTAGAAAATTTCCATCAGGTTCTCGCTTTACCCCCTTTGTCTCTTCCACTTCCGAGCAAAAGAGGAGTCTCAGAGCAGAAATTATGCTCTTGGTTCATAGCCAGAGTGCTCATCCTCTCAAAGGTCACTCTTTTTGACCAGTTTTATCATTTCAGGTCACGTGTGACTATGGAATATAGCCGAACTGTACCCACACCCCAAACTGTCAGCTGCATGAATGCAGCCAGCAAGAATTTACATTTGCATCAGTTTTTTTCCCCTTCCTTTTCCCATATATTCCTCATTTGTTCATTTGGCTTTCATTGACTCAGCTGCAGTTGCTCCAATTCAATTTATTTCTCCACAAATGACCTAGAGTAGATACCCTTATCAGCAGAGGATACTTTCAGAGATACCTTGTGGCATTGTCCCCAGGTAATATCTAATTATCTTTGGTAATAAGAATGACCAAAGAAATACTAAAAGGGCTACAGTATTCCTGGCACAATGCTTTTCACACATGGTGATGAGCTTGCACTCTTCTGTGCACTCTTGTAGTTGTCCCAGCCGCAGTCCAGTGCTTTTATTATACATGAGGTTGTGGTTTCTGTAACTGAAACCAAATCTCTGTCATTAGCTTTGTTAAAATGGTGGAAACTTACAACTTTTATAGCATTTTAATATAGTATATTGCAGCAACTAGCTACAAATTCTGTATTTATGTTGACTTTTCTAACCACAAATTCTGATTAAATGAATTTTGTAGTTCTCATGTCCTGTGTGATACCACTGTTAACCATCACATAAGGAAGAACTGTGTCCATCAACATGTTGCATGATGTTTAAATTCAAGTTATTTTAGGGCATTCTGCAATAAGCGCAGATACAGCATAGCTATATGTAGCACATACAAAAAACTCTCCAAATCAAGGTTGCAGAAGGTATTTGGTCAGTGAGAAATCCATTGTCTTTCATAGGGATTGCCTTTATTAAAATATTTGAAAGGTTTATATTCTTCTGAAAGCTGTCATGCTGCAGTTTAGTAATGGGGTAATAGTGAACCAGCTAATGGGCTTTATGGTGAGGGAGGCTGCATTTGGTATGTATTCTCTGCACTTTGTCATTTCAGGCTGTCATCAAAGAGCAGCTCCAGGAGTCTCATGGGCTGTGTGAATATGCAGTCTACGTTCAAGGTACGTTGCAGGAAGCCTCTGAAAGTCTTAATTTTCCTAAAGCAAGTTACTTCTGATTTGAGATATAGTGAACAATAAGAAGGGGAACAGGTGACTGAAACATGAAATTAAGATGTAAAAAATACTTGGCTTTTTTTTCTGCTTGCTAGGTCTAGTTTTGAAGTTTGGGATTTTCACATGAAATGGGCAGATGAGATTTTCTGTTTTCTCTGTATTCATGAGTTTGTCATCTATTCCTCCTTGGACTATGGGCTCTTGGCCTTCAGTATGTTGGTGTGTGTTTGATTGTATTACAGATGCATGTTTTCTGTTAGAGCTGCCTGCCTCAGGTGATTGCTGCCTTACTCTTTGCTTTAAGGATGGTATTCCTCTTCCTGTCCTGCCCTCTGTCCCCTAAAAAATGTGCTCCAAAACTTGGCGTTGCAATTCAAAGTGCCATGGTGGGGGACAGCTGAGATTTGTTGGCCGAGGCTGTACTGCAGATTGTAGAAGTTGGGAAGCGGGGAAATCCAGACTGCATCTTCACGAGCAATTGGCCAGGGTTTAAAGCTGCCTTTGTTCTGAAAACCAGAAATTTTTCCAGGCATGCACGAGTCCTTTGCATGCGTTGTCATTCTGCCCTCAGACACAGCTTCTCCCTGAGATTGCTGCAGGAGGGAGAAAGACCAAATGAGCGTTGTTATATTATATCTGTACTCCCTCTTCTTTCCCTGCTGTCAGAGAAGCATGTTTTTCCTGCAGATAATGGACTAATTTGCCTGGTATATGTTGTCTTACAGCTTTGATATTTCGCTTGGAGGGGAAAATTCAAGAATCTCTTGAACTTTTTCAGACATGTTCCATTCTGAACCCTCGAAGCGCTGACAACCTCAAGCAGGTGGCACGATCTCTGTGAGTGGTGTTTTATTGTTTGTCTTTGATGTGCCACCCAGGACCTTCCATGTTTTGTTTTTCTCCCAGGCATCAAGTAAAATCCCAGGCTGCTTAATTCCAAACATGCTTCCTCCTTATCAACACTTGAGTTGGCTTCCAGAAGCGTGGGCTACCCTTAAAAGCAGAATCTCTGTTATCTGCCTGGCTGCTATTGTATTTTCTTTTCCTTTGTTCTTTAAGCAAGAGCAGTAACACACTGATTTCTAGGTCCAGAGCTAAGGGGTGCTGACCTGAGCTGTGTAAACTTGCCTTACAGACCCCTTCCTGTCTCTGAATGTCCAGTTAGGTCACCTGTCTTTTTCCTTTGAGACAAAGGCAGACTGCAGAGCCTGTGAATTCCTTCCTTGCATCTCCAGTAACGTCAGGGAGTTCCTCAGCATCTCGCAGGATTGATGACCTTGGCCCTGAAAGGGAGCAGTGCTCAAATTGTAATACTGCTGAGATTGTAAACTTCTCAGGGCTTTTCATGCAGGTCTCTGGAGAACTAGCAAATAGTGTCATTTCTCACTGCCAAAGGTGATAGTGGTTGCACAGCAGGGCTTCAAAGCGAGAAAAAATAAAAATTGAAATGCTTTTGCAGGTTTCTTTTGGGGAAGCACAAGGCAGCCATTGAAGTGTACAACGAAGCAGCTAAACTTGATGAAAAGGACTGGGTAAGTGTTTCAGTGAGTTGGAGGTTATTGTAGTATGCAGACGTTTCTGCAGTTTTATGAAGACAGCTGCAAACTTGTTCCAAGCAGAGGTGAGCTCACGCTGCGTGCAGTCTGAGCAGATGAGTAGCTGCAGGGCTGAGAGGCATTGCCTTTTAGCACAGGCTCAGAAGCATGGATGAGCCTCTGCAGCATCTGGTTTGGATGCACATTTCTGCCTGCAAAATCCCACACCTTGTCTTGGGGCACAGAGAATCGAGCAGCGTGTTTGGTCTTTGCAAAGTATCAGTATTAACATAGCCCTATATATACATTAAGGAAAGTATGGGAAGTAGCTCCCTGTTTGGAAATCCTCAGTTATCATTAAAACTTGCTTGAATAAGTGGGAAACCTTTTGTAGCGCCCAACACCATTGAAAAAGATTACCCTCAAACTAACTGAGAGGGTTACTTGTTACCTACCACGCATTACCTGTTTTGCCAAAACATAGGCTGATAGCTGCAGGAGCAATAATTAAATTAGCTCTTCTATATAAGAAGACAAAAAGTGAAGGAAGAGCATTGCAAAGGGAAACATGACAGTGGGTAAGAGGAGAGAGGACTTGGCTTGCAGTTAGTTGCAGGCAGCCTTCTGCAGGTGACTGTTTTGCCTGCAGAAGTGTTGTTTCTACAACGGACTTGCTACATGTGATCTCATTTCTTAAGACACCAGGCACTCACTGACTTTAGCTGTACTTTTGGCACTCAGTAAGTCTAAAATTCAGGCTTGATACAAGGATACGTTTGGTATTATTCAGTTTACCCTGTGCCAGACAACTCAGGAACCTTTTATACCATGGGTCTTCTTTCAAGTCTGTATTCCCTTAGCTAACCAAGCTACTTGCAGTATGTGCTTGGCATGCCTATAGCTCTATTTACAACCAAAGCAGGCAGACTTCAGTGGGTGTTTTGATTAGTTATTTCCCATACCTGGCTCAGCACTGGAAGTAGAGCCAGCCTGTGTTCTTCCCTTGCACTGTCTCGTTCTGCAAGCTGCAGTAACCAGGAGTTACTGATTCATTACTGTTCTCCACAGTTGGAGAGACTGTGTGGAGGAAAATACCATTCTAAGAAGGTTAATGGGGAAATAAGAGAGTTTTCTTTCAAAGGTCAAGGCTGTCTAAACTGATGAAGCAGTGAAATGCTCACCAGAATAGAAATGAGGAACTAGTGGACCCTGCTTTTCAGCTCCCCACCATGTGCCAGGGTGGGGAAAGGGGCAAGTAGCTTGTCTGTTAAACTGTTGGTGATGAATTAGAGGCATGATTGTTCCCTACAGTGTCACCAGAGTGTTTAGGATCGCTAAGTGATCTTCCTACTCTGTTGCAAAATTGTTTAAGATGCCAGAGGGATATCAGCCCTTCTGGTGCTCGACTTCTATTTTGGAAAATTAGGCACATCTTCAAATTTTGTCCAGCTGGGTGCAGCATTGTGCGTGTCCTAATGACTGTACAGCTAGATTGAGAGCCATCCATAAGGGCAACTTACCTAGCTTCAGAGATCTCGTTGGGAACTGAGTCACATCTCAGTGAAGAAACTGGTCTTTGCTCCTTGTTCTCTGAAGAGACCATCGTCATTTCTGTGTTTTTTGTCTTGGTGGCCTGTAGTCTTTTCTGCACAATCACACTTAAGCTCTGTAGGTTCCTGAAGTTACTTGAATTTATAGGTTTACTTGATCTACAAAGCAAGAAGGGTGTGGGCAGGCACAGGGGTCTCCCCGTTCGGGTCAGTGATGACTGTAATCACTGGCAGATTATGTAGTATGTATTTCATACGTCATGCTGATTTGGTTTTGTTTGTGGTTTGTTTTTTTTTCATACAGGAGATCAGCCACAACCTGGGTGTGTGCTACATGTACCTGAAACACTTCAACAAGGTAATGCAAATGTTCGTCTTACCTACTTGACAAATGGGAAGCAAGGTTCTCAGAAATGTCACTTTCTTTAGTAGTTTGAAGTGGATAATTTACAGTGATAGGTATCAAGGAAGTTTTTTGCTTCAGCTTTTGTTTTCTGGGAGCAAAAGTTTGTGAGCTGTCTCTGTTTTCATTTGCATGTTGAATTATTTTGTGTCAGCTGCAAGTTAGTGAAGTTGGGTAAGAGTGAAACGGAGGTTAGCCTTGTTGCAGGTCAGGAGGCTTTTTCTGAACTAGGATTTTTCAGAGGGCATTTCTGGTTTTAAAGGGAATGTTTGAGAAACCTCAAAGAGCTGCCTCAAACTAGACAGAAAACCAGCTGCGCTCCAACAAGAGCTGCTTCTGTTTCTGATCCTTTTAAAGCCAGAACCATAAACACTGCTGGTTTTGTGAGGAGCATGCCGGTTCCATCTTCTTGAAGAAAGAGAGGTATGATGGTAAAGACCCAAACCGTTTCCTCAGCATACAGCTCAAACTGCTGCACCTCATGCAGAGAGTTTCTGAAGGAAACGTGCTGCCCCTTGGGTCTGGCAGGATTCAGAGAGAAGAGTTATGGGGTTGGTTTGCTGGAGGTGCAGCAGGCACCGTTTTTCTTCCATGGAAAGGATTTGCTCCTGTGCCTGAAGCTCCTTTTGCACCAAGCCTGGAGCATAGCTGCAGTGTGGGCAGCACTAACTTTATTGGCTTTGTAGCTAGCAAAGAACTTCTTGGAAGCTTGAAACTGAGTTTTGTTCTCTGGTCTGAGCACGCCATTCCCAGCTCCTCACTTAACACTCCCCTAGGTGCTCATGGTGAGCACTGAGCTGTTTCTGATCCTATGGGGTTACTTTGTAAGGGAAAAACCAGCATTTAGAAACCCTTTGTTCCCAATTTGGCCCAACTGTTCCCTGCTGCTCTTTCTGTTGGAGTGCTGTGGCCCTCACAGCAAACCCCTGCTGCATTCTCTGCTTGAGGCAGCGCTGTAAATTAAGCAAGAAGCTCTGGAGTATAGGTTCATACTTGGGATTTGTTGTCTGCACTAACACCTTCCAAACTGGGACCTGCTGACATCTTGTCTGAGATGTACTGGTCACCCTGGGCAGCGATACTTCCATGAGGACATCTAAAATATAATGAAGCCTTTGGGGATAACTGTCTCTTCAGTAGTTGCTGGTAACAAATATCCTGTGTTGCAGAATGCCATTACTGTGTCAGCATTTCTCTTTCTAATGTATCACGTGTTCAGAGATAGCAAACATACTTTGCTGTCCTGCTGGCTAGGCCAGAGGACATAAGAGGAAGACATGCTTCAAAGTGGCTCCTGTTGGAGGGGATCGGTATGTGCCTGACAAGCTGATTCACTCTTCTTGTTTACTTGGCAATCCATGCTTGTTGCTGGAATAAGCATTTTGGTGAAGAATAAACTGTAACATACCTGTTAACAAATCTGGAGCTTCCCTCAAACGAAACAAATTCAAATACAGGAACAGGCCCGTGCTCTTCTCCTCCTTGGGAGGTCATTGCCTATTGGCTTGGCTTGAAGCATGCCACGTTGCCTTTTTCTGTCCCTAAAACCACATGGCTCCTGATGCAGAACTTGTTTCAACAATTAGCTGGGCTGGGTTTTGCTAGCAGGGTTCTCTGCACTCAGGGGGTGCTAGCTGCTGGGGATTGCTCTTGGGCTATTGCTTCACTGAGGTCTCTGTAATCACTTATATTTTTTATTATTCTCTGTGGTTGTGTGTTTAGGCACGAGACCAGCTAAACAATGCCCTGGAGCTCAACAGACATGAACTGACTTACATGATGCTGGGGAAAATTCACCTATTGGAGGGGGAGATGGATAAAGCCATTGAAGTCTATAAGAAAGCCGTAGAGTAAGAATATATCCTTTTTTCTGTCTGCCCATGTCCCATCCTATGCCAGGAGAAATTTGATTGGTGTCCCAGATCTGACTTGAGGACATGATTAAAAAGCTAATGGTAATTATAGTGTCTCTGTGCAAAGCTGGCACTTTCAAGCTCTTCAGCTATCTCTGCTCTCAGCTGTAGTCCTCCTCCTGCTGACAATGTGTCATGGAAGAAGGTAGCTCTTTGAAGGTCTGCCAAAAAAAAGTGGAAAAACAAATGGACAGAAATGCCTGGGAGCAAACCTATCCAAAGCTGACTTCATAAATCCCAAAGGTTTATCTACCAAAAAGATCTAACCCCGGGTTTCTCTCTAACCCTGATCGTCTGTCAAAAATCAGTTGCTGGGTTTCACATACTGTTTTCACTTGGAGTGATTTGTGTTTGAAAGCGTGTGAGTAGGCAGACTAGAGATGGGTTGGTGCACAGCGAGTTTCTCCCACCCTGTCAGTGTTACTCAGTACCGATCTATCTTGTTTTTAGGGCATTCCTGAGCATCTCATTTACCAGTGCTTTTAAAATATAGTTTTGTAATGGAGGCAAACACTAAAGAAAAGCAGGAGCATGTCAGAAGCCACTGGAGGATCTACATTTTGTACCAGCTCTTTTCACGTACTGTTTCCTTACATATCTGCTTTTGACTGCTGTCTGACAGTATACTGGGTTGGGTAGACATTTGGACTAATCTAGAATGTTTATTACATGAATAATCCTTGTTAAGCGTCTTACCAGGTTTATATATCTTATCTCGGTGCTCCCCTGCCCTCCCTTCTTCCTCACTCCTGTTTTTTTCTTTTTTTTTGTTCTCATCTGCCTATTACATTTTGCCTGCTGTTACCAGCTCCAGGGTAGTCTGTCATTGCTCAGTGTTTATATACCATCAGCACAGGCAGTTTTGTTCTGGTTGAGGCTTAAAGGTGCCAATGTGAGTGTGTGTATTAGATTTCTTAAGTCACTATAGCACGGAATTGAAAACTTACTTCTGTTAAGGTGAGTGAGGCCACAAATATAGTGTCTCTTTCTGCTTTTTCTCTTTTGTTGTTTTCATCCTGTTTATGTCTTCAAAAGCTACTGGGAATGGGGATGCTTTTAAAAGGGTTAACAACATTGCTGTGTGAACCTCATACTAGCAGTGAAGGATTGGGAGTCGCATACAGTAATTGAAAGCCCTTGGGACATATTTTTTCAAGCTTCTCTGTGCTGAATGGAGTGGTGTGTATGGCCGGGGATACATTAACAGGTAGTGCCTGCCTGAGCACTCTGGTCTGTGGGCTGCACTGTAGCGCAAAGCCATGGTGAACAGTCCACAGCTGGTCTGCGAAACCAGGTTTGTAATCTTTTTATAGGGTGAATTAGAAGTCTGATGATGAGTGTGTGTAGGATCCATCAGAAATGCTGAGGATTACCTATCCTATATGGCCTAAGAGGCTTGGGATGGATTTACAGGGTGGTTTGTGGGAAATGATGGAAAATCCCATTTTGTATTTCCAGGTCACTGATGCAGATTCACTTTGAAGCTTGACAAAACCACATTATCTTATTATACATCTAGATCTATTTCATAGAGCTGTGTTGACTTCCCATTATATCTAGAAGACATTTGGAAAGCTTAGGTGTGATATTGTTCAAAGGAAGTCCCCATGATGGCAGTTGTTCTAATATTTGCGTTTAATAATAACAGTTAATTTCGTGGAGTGATACTAGTATAATGTGGCATCATAATTCCATGTTCTGTTTTTACCTTGTTCTGGAAGGGCTTATAAGCAACGCTGCTCTCTGGCTTTTGTATTACAGGTTTTCTCCAGAAAACACAGACCTTCTTACAACACTGGGGTTACTTTACTTGCAGGTATTGAAGACTGTTAGCTATTACGTGAACTTAATTATTTAAAAAATGACCAAGGTTTTTTTTATAGAATTAATTTCTATCCACCTTCCTATGACTTGCACACGTTTCTCTAAAGACTGCATTTAACATGACAGAGCTTGCTTTTCTGTATGTTCTTTTTTCCTTTTGCTGCTAAAAGCAATTGGTTTCCTGGACCTGAGCCAGAGCAGGAACTCTGTTTGGCAACCGCCCTAATTCTGTTATAAATCCTCCCAGTATAACAAAACATGACTAGTCATTACCTTGTTTCTGGAGCAGGAGTCTAGCAAGTTATTCTCCTACAAAAGCAGCCATGAAATTGTTAGTGTTAATGCACCATAGAAGAAAATCGGAATCGATTTAAATAACAAAGGCATGCTTATCACTTGGGTCTGTAAAACATATAGGAAGGACTGTCTGATTATTCCAAAAATAAGCTTCCCAAAGAGTGAGCAAGCAAAGAAGAATAGGCAGTAGTTCATGAAAGGATTGATGGGCTAGAAAACTTGCACCAAGTGCTGATTTGGAAGGATCCTGAAGCTTTCCCCTAATTGTTTATATGTTCAAGAATAAAATGTAGGTCTTGAAAAAAATTGTCTTGCTCTAGAGATAGGGAAATTCAGTAGGAACCTTGGATGTCTTAACTGTATATGTATGGATTTAGAAGGGAGTATGATGTGGGAAGGGGGATCTGTAAGGTAGAAGTAGTGCGAGTATAACATTCGCCCTGTGAATTTAGCCCCCAGGTCTCGGTGCTGTGATTTATTTGTTCAGTTTATCATGTCTCTGGATACAGACTCACCTTCAGGAGTTTTAAAGATGCTTCTACAGCTTTCCCACTTGCTAATAATTACAGAAGGCACCAGACTCTGATGCATCAGTATGATTGCTGGAGTGGCAGATGGGCTTCTCATCAATTTTTGTGGCCAAAAAAGGACACCAATATCCAGAATTTCATGCTGTTTGGACTGATACAATTCTGGCATAAGTCAATTGAAAACAACAGGATTTCAGTGACTGTAAACAGTCATGTGCTTGTATATGGACATAGTCATGCCCTCTAATACTTGCAGTCCTTTAGAAGACAAGGGAAGACTTTCTCATGTGAAAAGAGATCCCTGGGGAGTGAGGAAGTTGTGGTGAAGGAATTGAGGATGGGCAGAGTAGCAATTTGTAGCCTTTTTTCTGGAAGAGAGGAAGGAGCAGAGGACTATCTATCAACCCAGAGCTTGTTCTTGTATAGAAAAGTCAAAGCACAAACTATATGAAAACTTTTGTTTTGGCAGAAGAGTGAATCCAGCCCAGCAAAACAAATTTTTAGAATCTGTTTTGTAAATTATCAAACAAGAACATGTGTGTGTAATGGGATCACTGTAAAATTAACTTTTCTGAATATTTAACTGAACCAGAAATTCTAGTGCCCAAAAAGCACGTTTTCTTCTTCTTAACCCCCCTCATTCCTGAATTTCTGATGCTTATTTACTTCTTTTCCCAGCTTGGGGATTACCAGAAGGCCTTTGAACACCTTGGAAACGCACTTACTTACGACCCAGGCAACTACAAGGTATCATGAGGAGTGGAAATGAATGATGATGAGACACCTCTTAAAGCTAATTCCAGTATCAGAGCTTTGCCATCTATATCCAGGGATATCTTAGCCCTGGACATCCTCAAAAAGATCATGCCCAGAAAGCTTTCTCCAAAATACATTTCTGGGACCTTTCCCTGGGTAGAGAGTTGGATGTGTGTGGAGGTAGGGAAAGGGGAGAAAGCAGAATATGGGATATTAAACTGATCCCTTTGGTTTTTAATCTGAAGATGCGCCAAAACCAGGTGGAATTAACAAAATGGAATTTACTTTGGAAGGAAAGTCTTCTAGACATTGTTTCAAAAATCCCAAGAGCTGTGCCCAGGTCCCTGTGACTCCTGGGCACAGAGCACAGATACAAGTGATATTGCATTGTGTTATTCTTTCATCTGCCAATAACCCTGTCTGTTGCTTCCAACTGTTATATAAAAATGTGACTTTTCCTTGGCTCTGGTCTGGAAAGCCGAGCTTGGCATCTAGGTTTCATTCCTGATTGTGAAACTGCTTCCCTTTTTAGGCATGTTACTTTGTTTCTCTCTGCCTCTTTTTTCTTCTGTACTATGTTAACGGTGTAGAGTATTGAAATGTGTGGTTGACAAATGATGTATGAATGCAAGCCGGATGTTATTGTGAAAACACCTTTACACTTACAAATTTTAGTTGTCGCTGTGAAATATTATAAAGGACTTAACTAGTGTGGTTTAAATACAGTGTGTTGCAATCACTTGCTTTTTTTTCCTCATGTGTATTTCCATTAATTTGCAGTATCAACCAGTCAGTGTGAACTAGGCTAGCTTTGCTGCATATATCTTGCTTGAGTATGTTTTACTCTCTGCTTAACTTGCACCAGAACTATTTCTGTCTGTGCTTGTTGCTAAAAAAGAATCTATTAGTGCATAGATCTTCTCAGAGACTCGGACTCTAGGAGATACTATTGTCACCCCAAAACGTACCCTAAACACTTGTCATGTTGCAATATTTCCAAGACAGTTATGATTGAGATAGTGCAGGAAGAAGCGGATTTGGGTCCCTTCTTTACCCTGTCTTCCGCTATATGTTGGGAGATTCTGGAGTCCCCATCTGCTCCCCACTGTTGATCTTGGCAGCCCCTAGAAGAAAACAGCTGAAGAAGTTGAATGGTTGCTCTTGAGATGGCTTTAGTTTACTTATTTTGTCCTGTTGTCTTCTTGCTATATTTGGGAAAATGCAGTTCCTCAGCTGGTCACTCTTGTCTTCTCTCAAAGGCTACCTTGGCGGCTGGCAGCATGATGCAGGCCCATGGAGATTTTGATGTTGCCCTCTCCAAATACAGGGTGGTAGCCAGCTCCGTGCCTGAAAGCCCCCCGCTGTGGAACAACATTGGGATGTGCTTCTTCGGGAAGAAGAAATATGTAGCAGTAAGTATCTGGTTTCCTTTCTTTTTTCATCTGTAGCTAACTTCATGCAAGAACAAGATTCTTCTTGCAGCAGAGACAGGAGGTCTGTTCTGGGTGGGCTGTGTTACAGCACATTTATTCCTTTTTTGAAGGCTATCAGTTGCCTGAAGCGGGCAAACTACTTGGCTCCCTTTGACTGGAAGATTTTGTACAACTTGGGGTTAGTCCACCTCACAATGCAGCAGTACGCATCTGCTTTCCACTTCCTCAGTGCTGCCATCAACTTCCAGCCCAAGATGGGAGAGCTGTACATGCTCCTTGCAGGTATGCAATGCTCCATTATCCAGCTCCTGTGTATATCCAGCATAGGGGATGCAACATTATAGAGACAGAAAGTTCAGGCTGGAGTAAACAAATATTGGATAAAGGCTATACTAAGAAGCTGTTCCCCAGTAGGTCACTGAGAGGTGTAAAGTCTGAATAGTTTGTTCTCTCTCTGTGGTGAATAGGAAGGTTAAATTGCAGTCAGATCCAGATTAAACATTAAAAAAGGCTTTCTACATGTAAGAGTTCGGGTTTGGGTTGCCTAAGGAGTGGGTGTGGATTTCCAGCACTGGACATTTTTGGGATCAAGCAAGACAAATAATTTGTCAGAAGTGACGTTAGTAGGGTTAATCCTGGCAGCAGTCCAGACAACCTTGCTAGCACCTATTTATTTTACAATGTAATGAGATTCAGAATTGTCCTAAAAATGAAGTCCTTGTGAAACATTGACTTGTGTGTGTACGTTTTGCTTTGGTGCAGTTGCTCTGACAAACCTTGAAGACATTGAGAATGCAAAACGTTCCTATGAGCAAGCTGTGGCACTGGACAAGTAAGTCTTAATCATAGCTGTCAGTTGTTTGATCGCGTTGCTCTGCCTCCTGCACCTGGTTTCCTTTGCATGCTTTGTCCCTTGGCCTACTTTGACCCTAAACAGTGTGCAGTAGGGAAACATTTTTATTCCTGCAGCTGTGCAAGTGACAGTTTTAAAACCATCTTTTTTTTTTTTTTTTTAAATTCAAGTCAGCTCTGAAAAATGAAAGGGAAATTTTGTTTCAGACCAACCCAAAGCTGGTTTTTATTCTGTTGTTTAGTTAGTGAGTCAGTGGTGATGACTTTGGATTCCAGGCCTCCTTTCAGTGAATATTTATACACAGTGGAGCAGATTAAATAGAAGAAAACCAGTCATCCCAGAATATTTTGTAACCCAAAGTTTGAGCACTGTGCAGAGCAATGAGATACTTGGAATAAAGCGTGTTCTGAATTGGGCAGAGGGAAGATCTTAGCTGGGAGAATGTGAGCAAAAAGTTAGTATAAAGCATATAAAAAGGCAGCAGCGTGGTCCTTTCTCCTCCATTTTGTTAACAATGTCTATGTTTGCAAACTAGCTCTTAAAATCGGAGCACTTGGTTTCAGAAATACCTTGCAGTATTTAGTCATTTCAGGCAGAAAACCAAGTTTGTCTCAAATTTATGAACAGTTTTGTCTCTCTCCCCAATTTACTGTGAATATTTGCATACTTACAGCAACCAGCACGGTAATTCTGAGCCCAGGAGTCTGTATGCTGGTGACAGAGGTGTGGCAAAAGCACTCTTTCCATCTGCAGTGGCCACCACAAGGTGGCATGAGAAGATGCTGTCTCTTTTCCTCTGTCTTCTCTAACCTAGGTGCACTGGCCAGGCTTAATTTTGGGAATTCTGGAAGTTCCTAAGCCCATTACAAAGGGCAGCAGGTTTCAAAAAATAGTGTTTTACACTGTAGTGCAGTTCAGTCTGCGAAGAGGTGCGGTAAATGCTCTCACATGTTTACTGGTAATTACGTGGCTTGCACGCATGCCAGAGCTCTTGAATCAGTTAGCCCTGCACAGCCAGCACACATCTGGCACTGAAGTTCTTCATACTTACGCATCAACAGAATTACAAAACAGGTTGAAATATTCCTTCTACATCTGTTTCAAATGTCAGTAGGTCTATGCAGCCTCCTCAGAGGAACCGAACCTGTGCAAACTATGGTCAAATATTTGTAAATGTATTGCTGTGTGAGAGCATTTTGCAATTATGCATCAGTGATTTCTACCAACATCACTAAGTCCAGTTGACTCCTTTGCCTGGCTTTCCAAATCAGTCTTCCATGCCTAGCAAGGCAGTACAGGGCCTTAAAGATTGCTCAGACTGCTTGGTCATGAGTTTGTGTGCTTTGGTCAAAGAGAAGGAATAGAAATCTAGCTCTACAACTTTGCCTAAGTATTTGGCACTACCAAATAGCTACATGATGCTGCAGCTATATAGTCTTACGGGGAAAATAAAACCTCATCAAAGCAAAAATGAATGCCAACTGCCAGGGACTGCTGGGAGGAATATCCAGACTTTGTTAAGCTTGTTCAGCTGCCATGCCGTATATTTTAGACAGTTATTATGTGGCTGAATCCATGTCCCCACAGGCTTTCTTTACTGGCATATTATGAACTGTTTGGCTGGGCTGAAGGTAGCCGTGTTTGTTTCCGTTGCCATAAATACTTTTATAGCAGTGCTGTGACGTTTGGCCTAGGTGGCCTGCTGGGGTCTGGAATGGAAAGCATCTTGGAAAAATCTTTAAAAAAAGGTGTTTCTTCTTAGTACTGGTTTTTAGGTCATAGCTGTCCTTTCTGTGGTTATTTAGCTATTGATTTTTTTTCTCACTGTCATATTGCTTCTCAGCTCTTGAAGGCAAATTAGCTTCAAAAGGTTCAATTAATTTTAAAATTGGCTGTTCCCAGATCTGTCTGATGTCTTCAGTGTTTTGTTGTGTAGGTTTGGTTCTTTGTATTTTCTTTTTTGGCTTTTTTGGGGGGCGAAGAGATGGGGGTTTGATTATTTTTTCACGTGTTACTTCCTTTGCTTTGGCAAAGACAGTGAGGAGGGTTTTTTTTGCAGCAGGATCAGTGTTCCAGTTTCTCAGTTAAAGGAAAACCAATGGTTATAAATGCCATCAGATTTCTTTTAATAGTCTTCTTTCTTCCAGTGCTGTCATATAACTTACCAAGGATGGATAGTCATGGCCTGCAGATGACACTTTTTGTTTATTGAACAGTGTTAGCAGAAGCCTTCCCTTCTGCACTTTTCGCAAAGGATGCTCTCTGTGTCTTGGCCCCCCAGGTGCTGGTGCTGGAGTCCTTGGATGGCTCCAGTTATCCCTGCCACACTCCAGGAGAGGGCACCAGTCCCTTGCTCACATTTTTTGAGCTAACTACAAAGCATCTCTCACTGACCTGTGTGCAGTGAGTGATACATGCATGCGGCTCCTCCGCGGGGAGCTGCGGTTAGACAGTGCTCTTCCATGCACCCCTTGACAGCACGTCCCCTGTGCTGGCCAAATGCAACCTCTGCTCTTCCAGGTCTCATCCTGCAGCCTGGATGAGCCGAGTGTCTGCATGAGCTCCTATGCTGGGGCTGGTGACCCTTTTGCATTTCATTTCTTTGTCAGATAATACACATGCATTTTGCTTCTTCAAAATAAGGGTGAAATTCAGATGGCTAAAGAATGGTCAGAGCAGTTTGGCAGTCAGGCAATTAAGGAAGGATCAGCTTCACTTATCAATTACAGAGCCAAGGGAGTCAGCTCACTCTTTCCCTCTGGTTTAGTTTGCTCACACGCCTGGCTATGCCAGAATAAAAATTGCTGTTCAGGGTTAATGTATCCTAGTGAAGAAAATGGATACTGTGTAAAATGAGAATATATGGAGCAATTCTGCCTTTTTGAAATCTTCATATGCTGTTCTGCATCGGGAAGGGAGGCAGAACTGCACTTTGAGTCCTTCGTTAATAGGTATCGCCTACTGTTCCTCTATAACAGTACATACAGTTATGTATGCTTTCTCTGGGTGAATGAGAGAGAAGAGATGAGGAAAATGAAATGTAAACAGCATGTTCTGTAGCATGTTGGGTTGTAAAATACAATTAATAAGCATGGCTCTGTTCCACTGCCCTGTCCCATGACAAGCTGCTCTCCTACAAATTGGGAGAGCTGTGAGAGCCTGATCTAAGTCAGAGCAGAGATCAGCATTCACAGTATGATGAAAGCCCCCATCACTGCTCTACCTGCCCCAGGAGCAAGGGGCTGGGAGACCAGGCACTTACTAAAGATAGTCCTGAGATGGTCCCCAAGCACAAAGAATTTGGCTGCTGCACAGAAGAGCCTTGCAGGGGGTGAGGCAATCAGCAGAGTCATTTATATCGTCATTGATACTGGGATACTTTGCTGACCCCAGGCACCAGGTCTCTCACCAAGCATGTGGGACTCTATCGTGTTCCCAAAGGACGCTGGCTGTGCATCCCCTCATCTGTTTTGGGGTCAGAGTACCCCATGGCTTGTCTGTGCCAGGCAGTAAAGGTGACTCCAGCTTTGCTGCCTGGGCACATCTTAGCGTTATTCAAGTCAGGATAAGTGTTCCCACAGTGAATGCGATGCATCCTGTGCGTTTGCTGCAGGTGCAACCCCCTCGTCAACCTGAACTATGCTGTCCTGCTGTATAACCAGGGTGACAAGAAGGGAGCCCTCTGCCAGTACCAGGAGATGGAGAAGAAGGTCAACACAGTGAAGGAGAGCAGTACTCCTGACTTTGACCCTGAGGTATGTGCCTAACAGTTGTCAGTGGGAACTAAGTAGCCACACTAAGACTGGCAACAAACGAGGAGGAAATTTGACTTTGGAGTCCAATTATTAGGAAGAAATTCTGCTTATGAGATTTTCTGAGTAGAGCAGTTGCCTGCTGAGAGCTGCTTGCTTCATTTCTGCTCTTTGAAGCCCAGTCCTTCAATCAATACACAGCAAGATTCCCTCTTAATTAAGGGAATGAATTAGCGGAGATATTTCCCTTGAGCACCAAGGCAGTAGCCAGCTCCGCACAGCTCTCGTTTTTTGGCTTTTTTTTGTAGTGTTGTTGACTTTATTGTTGTCTGAAGTGTTCCTGTTTACAATAGTCTTCTCTTTTTGCTTCTTGAGAAGATGGTGGAGGTTGCTCAGAAGATGGGAGCTGCTCTGCAGGTGGGGGAGAGCCTCGTCTGGACTAAGCCTTCTAAAGAGTCTAAATCCAAGCAGAGAGCTGCTCTGTCAGGGAAGTCCTCCAGCACTCAGCAGCCTTTGGGCTCTAACCAGGCCCTGGGTCAAGCCATGTCCTCAGCTGCAGGGTATGGGAAAACCATGCAGCTTCCCCCAGGTGCTTCTCTTTTGCTTCTCTTTAAAGTAGAACTGTGGGAGGGGAGAAGACAAATCTCTCTTCCTTTGAGTACAGTTACAGCACTTGTTTAGGAAGGTATTGACTTGCTTACACAGTAGCAATGTTAGTATTTGGTAATAACTTTCCCAGATTTCTGAGTTAAGGAAGCGTGGAAGGAAGATGCTGCCGGTGGTGCTTTATACTATCCTGCTTTTGCAGGGGTGTGGAAAGCCAGTAAAGTTTCCCTTCCTGTCTGAGCGCGATGGGCAAGACTCTATCAGTATGGGATTGAGATCTTGCTCTGGAAAGGAGGTGGTTTCAGAAACCAGACCTCTTGTCTTCCTTTGGAAGAGCCCAGGAGCTGACATGCACAGACTGGCTTCTGGAGAGAAGGGAGATGATGAACAATTTTCTGAAGCACTTTATCCTTTCTGTTACAAAAATAACTGCAGCTGGATTGCTTTGAAGCTGTTCAGCCAGGTCACTCCCTTGAAAATGTTGCTGGGTTACCTTTTAGTGCAGGCCAGTGGACTGAAGGTTCCTCAGGAGATAGCGTCAGCCTTAGAAGCGTTGCGCTGGTAGCTGTACATGCTGCTTCTCGCTGGGGCTTGGTAGGAGCATCTCCTGAGCCACCACTCATAGCCTGACCTCTTCTCACCCCTTGGCTTCTGAGGAGGAATGCGCTAGAGATATTGCTCATCATGGTGATTTTCTGTCACTCTTAGACTTGTTGCCTGTGGACTGAACCAGGAGAGAGGTTGTGTAATCCAGGCCTCTTTCTTTGGCACCCCTAAGGACCTGTTCCATTTCTCATGCACGGAATAAACTTTCCATGCAGGGAAGACTTAGCCAGAAAAGCTGAAAAATAAAACATAACAGGAGTTTAGGGTTTATCTGAAGGACTTTATTATCCATATCAGAGAAGGGAGCTGGTTCATAACATGAGTTGTCAGCCTAAATCTAAGTGCAGAAACAACTTCAGCATGGAAGTGTTCTGTTTTGATTTTATTCTGTAAGTAGCTACTTTAACTGCCTGAAAACTCACCCTGAGTTTGCTAAACTGTGAACTGAAAATGATAATGTGGTTTTGGCTCCAGCTTCAGTATAAACCAGCTTCAGTGGAACTTTTTCCCTTCCAAAGCATGAGTTAATTCCTAAGTTTGTACTGACTTCTCACAGCAGCCCAGCTGAATGAGATACTGTACCTCAGCTTCCCTTCAGCAGAACTTTGGGTACTGTAAGGTCTCTGGCTGGGTAACTCACTAAAGAGTTGAGTGCTATTGATCAGCTAATGCTAGACAGAATAAATCTGAGGGTAATTAATAGCTGTGATTGTTCTGCATCTCTGTGCTGCTTGGAAGGGCAAAAAGAATAGACGAAGCAAAGTGTAGTCATACACTAACTATAACTGTGTTCTCTCCCCAGGTGCTGGAGCATCAGCTCCGCTTGCAAAGCCTCCCTCGCTGCCTCTGGAACCAGAATCGGGCTCAGAAATGAGCCCCGAGGAGACCTCGGCACCAACAGGAGCTGAGGAGCAGAAGAAAGAAAAACACAAGAGCCAGCAGGCAGCAGACTAGAATGGACTCTGGTCAGGACAGGCAGGTGCAGGAGCATTCCTAGAGCTGCCTGATGACCTGTGTGGAAAGGGACCTGCCTTCTCCCCTGTCCCATGGTGGCTTCACCCCACTGTCAGTTAGTCTAAATGCAGCTGTTTTCTGTTAATGATTTTAGCATGTGGTCTCTACCTTGTCCCAAGGAGTCGTTGCAGCAATCGGAAGAGGTTTTTGCATAGCTACTGTTAGTGTGGTCACAGCTTACCACAAGGGACTGGAGGACGGAGATCCATCTCTCCACAGGGTTGGCAGTCTTCAGTGTTTCGGTGTAAGTCCTCCAGAAGGATGCTGAGGCATCCAGTATGTTCAGAAGAGCCAGCAGTAGTGACTTAGCATCCTGGACCCTAAAGAGGATCAAACCCTTCCAGTGGCTGAAGTTGTAAGCAGCTGAGGAAGCCCTACACAGGCTGTAGTAAGGTCAGCGGTAATACACTCGGAGAGGGGGTGAAGGTAGCGCATCTCACCAGGGCAAGTGCAGAGCAGTAAGCCAGGCTCGGGGCTAGCACAGCCTGGCTTACTATGAAACAGGGGCTCATTCCCCGTTTCACAAGGGCAAGACTTTGTAAATGCTTTCTCAAGGCTGAAGCAAGCAAGCTGAAACAGCTGGGAGCTGGTATTCCTGAGCAGGGCAATGTCATGGTCACAGGGCATGAGAAGCACTTTAAAGCCCACACTTCCCTTAGCAGTGGCAGTCGTGAAACATGGAGGAGCTGCATAGCAAAGGTGAGCTGGTTTGTCTGGAGATGATCACTCCATTATACGCAGCCTGGTGGAGGGTAGATGGCCGAAGCAGACCTGCTGTGCTGGGCTAATGGCACCTGTGTTGGCCAGCTAAGTGAGCCGGCTTCTTTAGGACTGTTCACCTTCTGATCCCAGGATCACTCTTCGTATTTCTTGAATCCAACCTATTTTTTAGCGTAAGCTTCTTTGTAGTAGCTAAGAATGTTGCAAAGCTGGCCCACAGTAAGGCAAGTGCTCAGTGGCTGGCTATTCTGGAAGCAAGCTAGCTGCAGCAGCAAAGTCTGCCAAATTCTTAACTGTTTGCTGAAAAACAGGGTAAACGAGCCTCAGTGAAGCTCTGCTCATGTGAATGGAGTTCTTCCTTGAGAGTTTGTTTTGCCCAGCATGGGGGGAAAGATTGGTTTGCAGGAAAAACAAGAGCAAGCTCTTTCAGAAAAGACAATACGGTCAGCTTCAATGCTAAATATAAATTTAGTACGACAGCAGCCATGCTTTGAATAATTCAGTTATGCCCTCCTTACAGTTGCATTTTAGGAGAAATCATTTATGCTAGCTGCAAGGCAGCAAAGCAGCCTGTTGGTGAGCAGAGCAAGGAACTTTAATGCCCATACAATACTAGAGATGCTTTGAAAATGTTTCTATCCTTGAACAGCAAAATCTTAGCCTTCCTTTTCTCTGCTACTATCGGTTTGTTGCCTCTGGGATTTATCCAGAGCTTGATACAGGTCCTCAAAACAACTGCAGGACCATCATACTTTACGTAAAGAACCAGTAACTGGGTTAAGTATAGTTTTTCTCATCCTCCTTTCTGTGTACCGACAAGTACACAAAGCTAATATTGCTGTGGGACTTTCAATCAGAGTTCTCCAAACAGCTTCCCCAACAAAACTGAAGCTTCAGGGTTCAGTGTATTTGCTGGTTAAGCTACCCAGCTTTTTAAAATGTATTTCCTGCTTTTAGTTCTGCACTGCTATGTTTTATCACTCCATAATTAGCAAGTCCCACAGAGGAGGGTTAGTAATGGCAACTTCTCTGTAGCAACAACATGAAAGCAGCATGACCAAGGCTCTGGATACATTAACATCCTTCAGTTGTGCTTTGTGGTTAGCTGCTATTACCCAGAATGACATTAATGCATCTTTAGAGCACACCCAGGAACTAAAGTGCTATGCTACTCCCTGGAGAACACTAGAAGAGTAGGAACCCTTCACTTTCTCCACTGTTTTGATTGCCAAAACTGCCTGCTTATCTCAATTGTGGCTTTTTTTTCCAGCTGTCCTCTACTGCTGGGTTTTGTATCAGTACAACTTCAGGGTAGCACTCCTGTAAGGTTTCCCCCCTCGTGGTAGAAGTTGAAGAAAACAGAGGCTCTTTTGCGGAACACTGGCAAATTTAAACAAACCAGACACGAAGCAGTGTAAATCAGGTACAGTGCAGCGATTTTTTTTTTTTTTATTCACATTAAACTTTTTACAGTGAAAGTTACTGCAGCATAACAGAGTGCCTGTGAAGAAGAGTGTAAGATTGCAGAGCAAGGGTAGGCAGGGTATGGGAACTCTTTACCTCACCCCCAAAACTTTAGCTCAAGACAGTTTTTTCCGATAGCAATTGACTGCTGCAATCTTTTAGTCTTATCACAAAGGCTTTCATTTCAAGCCATGGAAGCTCCAATACAAGGAACAGTGACCGGAACAACGTGGTTACAGGTAGCTGAGCACCAGCATTGCTAATACAGGAAAAGTTTCCCTCCAGCTGCTTATGACCCTATGTTTTGTTTTTACTAGCGGCTTTCCCCTGCCTTCTGCTTGTTGTAAAAAAAGACTGTAGCATTATCAAACTCATTTGCTATATTCAATAGATGGGAGCAGCCCTCGTCCCACTGCTGTTCTCAACTTACAGCCCACCAGAGACACAAGGAACAACGATCTCTCTTCTCTCACCCCGTCCCACTGGTGCAACCCATTACCTTTTTGGCTGTTAGGATGCTTTTATGGGGTAAATGTTACATGTTAGTACATAGGGTATACTACATTTGGAGGTACTGTAAAGGTATCTAGAATATATATTTTGGTGAAAAGCTTATGCAGACGATTAACCAATTCTCCTTCTAAGAAAAGGAACAGCAGCACCTTGCTACTTTCTGGATTTGAACAGAGCAGAAGGAAGCTTCATGTCTAAGGAAGCATTTTTAAATATGTAATTACAGTTGGATAATAAATAGAACTGCAATTCCTTGTCCTCTCCCCTCTCCTCCCCCTGGGTATTGTGATAATGGCATTTGCATACAGTAAATTCATAGAATCTTTACGGAGAGGGGGGGTTTTTTTTTTTGCTATCTAAGGATGCGAATGAGGCTGGACTGTTCTTTTGGCTGGAATTAAACAAGGGATTTTTCAGCAGGACTGTACTAAGTCATTTAGGGATTTTGGAAATCACACCTTATGTTCCAAAACCTGTTTCTGCCATCAGCCATAATTATAAAATTCTCTTTTCCCCCCATAATTGAAATTTTAAGATGGAAAAGAATAATGAGCTTAATTTCTAGGGAAGTAGAAACCATCTGCTTTAGGACTTTTTTCCCCCTTTTTAGAAAAATGTGTATCATTAACAAGGTTAAATCATACAGCTTACAAGGTAGACTGCAGCTTGACTTCCTCACAGGAAACAAACTAGAAGACACTCAATCAGCAATGCCTGGGCAGCAAGACCTTGTTTCAGACAAGAGTAATGATCTATCCATCCAGCAACATGTATTCAACCCAGACAACTCTGGTTTTGAGGTCCCTGAGACAACTGGGCAGTATTAGTGTATACTTGCCATGCTCCTGTATGTGATCTCGTTTGCCCAGTTGTGGTCACTGCCAGGCAATATTGAGCAAGGTGGACCTTGGGTCCTACTCAACACCCTGTTCTTGTACAAGATGTTAAAAATTTGGACTTCCCCGTGGGGAAGTGGGTTGCAGTTGGCCAAGCCTCTTCTACAGAGACAGGCAAACCTCAGTGCTGAATGAAGAAAACCAAACTTTACTAAAATAATAAGCTTCATACATAAATGCATGACAAAAAGAGTGCCTATTATAACAAGTAATTCATCTGCTAAGACTGTTTTATATAATAGAAAACACAGTTCTGCTACAAGGAAAGCTTTACCACTCTCTCAAACCAAACTGCAAAAAAACAGTGTTTGCTGCAGTGGTTCTGAATGAAAGATACATGTGAGATTTAAACCCAGTTTTACCCTGGCTGCACTGACTAAGGAGCAGCTTTCCTGAGAAATTCATAGGGGAGGTTTTCAGGATATTTTTTTTGTGTCCCCCAGTTGCATTTTAATGAGATCATTGCCCCTTAGCTGCTAGCATCTGTATTCTTCAGCTGCTATGAGATCTCAGCAAAGGCTGATACCAGGCTCAGTTTTGAAAGTGACAGCGAGCTGTTTGGAACAGATGCCTTTCTGAGCTTCCGGCACAGAAGGTAACGGCCATGCATGCTATTTCCACCCTGCATTTGTTTCCTTTGCTGAGAGAACATCCTCCCACAAGAGTGTGGATCAATAACTCCCTGAGAATTCAGCCTGGATGGTGCTTAGGATCCACCTGAGGTATTATGCAAGAAACTGCTTGATCTGTTATGAAAGAAAACTTCATCTGACATCTCTGAACAGACAGGAGAACAATAGTTTCTGGCTCTAAGATCAAGTTTTACTAAAGAGTTTAATCAGACCCAGTATTGCTGAAGCAGAAAGCAGACAGGAGTGATGAGAGCAGGCCAAGGGATATGCTACACAAAAGAACTTGTTGCAAATAGGTTTCCTCTGCCCCTCATCACTCAAACTTTAAAACCAAAGAGCAAAGACAACCCTTAATGTTCTCATTTCTCTCTCTAGTAACCTCATTAGTGCTTGAATGAAGAATGTGATACACTTTTTATTGTGGCGTCTGTTCTAGCTGGTTTTAACCAATGAGTCTATAGACACAGAATTTTTTTTTTTAAAGGTGAGACTACCACTTTGGTATGATCACAAGTTTAAAACTTAACGGGACACTTTTACCAAAATATTAATGGCACTAGAGAAGAGCACAATTAATAGGGCTTGAAACAAACATTCCCATTTAAGTACTGATATAATGCAGGACATAAGAACAATCCAACTGAAGCCATGAAAATATAAATTCTGTATTTTCCTCTGTTTTTCTACTGTTCTTCCAAACATACTCAAAGACTTGATGAGTTCCCTTACACCAGAAATAGCAACACAGCGCACTGTGTGACAGAAGTACTTGACAGCACTGCTTCAGAACAGATTGCTCCAAGCACGTGTATCAGCAGCCAGTACCACATATCAATGCAGACAGTTTAGCTGCTTGTTCGTTGACAACAGCATCAGCTTTCACCTAAGCTGCAAGCTCCAAAAAAGAGCCCAACAGCACAGAGGTTACTTTTAGGGCAACTGGGAAGCGTTATGGTGCCTTGTACCATTCTCGCAAAAACTATCCCGGTATTAATTTTAACTTTTTCTCTCAGGACATAGCTGGAAGGTCACCCTGTGGCACATAATGCCTGGTAATTCAGTACATCATTACAGAATTTAAAAAAAAAAAAGCCAACCACAAGTAGCATCAACGGATTTCACAGTTTAAAAATCTATTCTTTAATTCTGCTATTGTTGTTGGGAGGTGTACTACAAAGGTGGCTACAAAGAGCAACCCCTACCTTAGGATACCTTGTCTTAAAACAAATTGGGCAGAAGATAACTGATGGCAAATAAATACATACACACTGCTGACAGTTTTCCATTAGGTTTTGGCATGGATCTAGTGCTCTGCTGCTATCCCAGCTTTGGATTCCAGTAGCTGTGAAGTAGAGTCGGGCTCTAAAGCAGTATCTAACATGGGTCAAAGCAGCTGATGAGGTCTTTGCTAGAGGCAACGCATAAAGGCTAACAAAGAAAATTGTAGCACCAGTTCTGTAAAAAGGAAGTAATGAGAAAAAAAGCAAACTTAACCAGGTCTCACATATCACAACAGGAGATAACCAAGTAAAGAAAATCAAGGAATTCATTAGCAATGCTGTTGACACTCCCATGGACAAGAAAAAAAAAAAAAAAAAAAGCCTTTAAGCTGGAAAGAGTTGCATTTGGGATTGGCTCTTCCATGGCCAGGTAGCAATCGCACATCACCATGGGTATGGCAGAGAAGGAACGTACCCTTTCAAAGTCTGCCTGCCTCCTGCGATTCACACGTCTAAAGTAATCCACCACTAGACCTTCAGTAAGCAACACGCACAGAAAAGATACAAAGCATTGCTCATTTTTGATCAAGGGTAAGACAAAAAAAACCAAAACCAGTGCGGCTGCACAGGCTACAGGGACACAGAAGTGGAAATACCAGTGTGCACAAGTTTTGCTTACTGTCACCATGATGAGCTCATCTATTGCATCTTCAGGAAACTATGTGTGAATAAACATTTCCAGTGGAAACCCTTCTGCTTGGGAGTACAAGACTAGCTGAGGTTTGAGTCATCCATCACTGTGGATTTCAAGGTATGGGGTAACACAACAGAACAAACAGAATTTGTACAGACAGAGAGGATCAGAGGAAAGCAGAGATCTGTTCAAGCCTGGTTTTGAAGCCTTGGTATTTTTGCAACTTTTCTGTTTCTACACGGTGAAGGGAGACCTGGATTTTTATAATCCATTAGATAAATTTGTTTAAAAATCTCTCACCTACCAAGGACTTTTGTATTTTACAAAACCATCCCAAACCAACCAAACAACAAAACCCACAATCAACAGAAATGTCACTAGGTTTTTTTTTTTTTTCCCCTTATGCAGACTAAAAAAAACCCACTAGCTGTTTCCATTTCTGTTGTTCAGCAAAGTCTGTTAAGGACAAAGCAGCTTTTCTTTGTTGTCGCTATAGTAGCTGTGCAGAGGTGTGAGACAGCCTACATGTGCAGGAGGATTTCAAGAGACTCTGCAACCCTTACTGTAATTAAGTTGGGAAGGCAGAGGGAAGTTAAGGGCATCATGTTCACAGCATGTGAAACATGAAGTGAAGACAGGCTGCTGGGTCCCGCCATTCAATTCAGTTTTATTATCATATAGATTGTTTCAAAATTTAATCAGGGATACCAACGGCATATCTGATTAACAGGTCACGCTTGTTAAGAATTATCCTTGGTAAGTGAATTTGGTGACCAGGCAAGCTCTATATGCCTGATGAAAGCAGATACATAGATAGAGCAGCAGTCTAGCCGTCACAAGCTACTGTCATTTGAGAAGTGACTCACAGTGCCAGGCATTCACAGCGCACCCACAACAGGCCAAAGAAGAAATACTACCTGGTGAGAAAACAGAAGCAGCAGGAAGGAGGACTTAGTCATTAGAGTTTAGCTTTTAGGCCCAGATGAATTCTAAGCAATAAACCCTTTTTCATACTTGTTTACAGCAGTTATTTATTCAAAGTAGTTTTAAAAAAAGAGAAATAATTTAGGCCTGTAACACTCTGGTTAAATACAAGCGTAACTTACCCTTGGACAAGTTCTGTTAGTGTAGTTACGTGATTTTAAGTGGCCATAAGGCAATGCCGGTCCAGTCAGCCTTGCATCCCTGCAAATGTTTTTGGAAGAGAGAAATGAAATACAGCAGCAGGACCATTGCTGGTGACAGCTTGTATGTATTTAGTTTTGTTTTGTTTCCAGCTCGAGAATCCACACAGCTTGGCTCAATGTCAGGAAAGTGGGACCTAGTGTTAAGCAAAGGATTAGTTCTCCAGCTGGCAGGATGCGTGGCCTTTGGTGGTCCTAGGGGTGGTGTGCCAGAAGGCTCTGATCAAAGATTGCAAAATAACCCTGCTAATGGCCTCAGACCTTTCAGATGGCTGAAAGGAGAATTTTTTTATTTATTTTTTCTGTAGGAAGACTAAACCAGAACTCCAAATCCCATGCTACAATTTATCAGTAATAATAATAAAAAAAATAATCTTCTTAAGACTGGAAGTATTTCTATCCAGATCCCGCACTGAGATAAAATGCTGAGACTCAACAGAAGATCAGGATGGGATAAGCTGCAGGAAAACATCACTCTGACTGTATTTCTCCTCTGGTACAACACAGAAGTCCTCGCTCAGAGGGAAAGCAGAAGTTAAATATACATTGACAGACAGCATTGTGTGCTAAGTCAGTACAAGTTACAACAGCTGTCAATTTTTATCCTTACAGAGCATTCACGATGGCATTTTCCAACAGGAGAACATCACTGACAGCAATATGACAGTGTTACTGAAAGAGATTAC